TATATATATATATTTCATTTCCAAATTACATTTTCAAGCAAAACGTCATTACAAATTAATCTTATAGCTTACTTTATCTTTCCACCCTATAGTTCAATTATTTCTAGTCTATAATCTAGAAAGACATAATAATACTTGTAAAAAATAACTTTCTTTTTTAAATGTTTACTCAAACACACTCAATACATTATCGACTAATTAATGAGTTTGCTACATTATTTATCATTTATGTATATTGCTCAATAAATATTCGTAGAACATTACCTATTTTTCTTAAAAATCTTTTTTCCAGATAGTAATAAAAATTTACGTTATAATTTTATTCAAACTTGATTAATTACAATGATAGATCAGAAATTTTCATCCTCGTTAAAAATATTCTTATGTAAATATATGACTACACTAAATGGTAGAAAAAATATACAAATCTCTATAAAAAATTATGCTAAATACTAAAATAATTATATAAATAGAAAATGTATATGCTAGGATTATAATTAGAAATATGAATAAGCGATAAAAGTTGCCCAAGATGTACAACAAAGTATGCCGTAGTTACTTCAGATATTGGAACCTGTAACAAATAAAGGTAATAATAATAATAGGCAAAAATCGATAGACTAAATCACATCATATGACCAAATACTTATTTATTTAAAAAAAAAACTTGTTATATAAAAACGTGACATTATAATAACAAAATAATAACATGCAAACATTGTCAGTGACAGTTTCATACTAATTAAATAAAAGTAATGAAAAATGTAAATCAAAGTTCTGTAATAATATCATATATCATAACATTTACATGAAAACAAAATAATTATAGCTCTTTATACACATGCAAAACTATTTTTTGTAACATTCAATTAAAAAATATAAATGCCATAACAAAGTTAAAGCTTTGAGAAACACATCACGATAATCACAAGAAATTATAGCCTTATTTTATCCGCATATGCATTGCCATCGTTTTGCTAGCATGATCAATTGTTTTCACATTTTTTTTATCCCTTTTTGTATAAATTTTTAGCCTAAACGTAGCGTACCGTTTTATTATTCTTTTCTTTAAATCGTGGCAATCGGGTAAGTAATAAGGCAAATCTTGAAATTTTTTGATGAACATACTACGGAGATCAACGTTATTAAGTGTCGTATTTGTCATCACCAATCTAAAAATTTTTTCCATTTCTAAAAAAAAAATTAGAAGTTCGTTCATTGATGAAAAATAGAGTTTCTTCTTTGTAACATTGATATTTGATATACCGATTATGTATCGATAGATTTGTCTTGTAAGAGCCCGTATATGACACGCACACGCATTGCTTCCATTTTTGTTTTTTGGTGATACTTTTTATTAAATAACCCGCACAATGGTTCATAAGATTTATTTCAATTCTACTCAAAGTTATTTTTTGATATTCATCTCTTATATTACAATGTAAAATGGACGGAACAGTGTTTCATTATCGGTTTTTTTTAGACTTTTGATTGTTTGAAGAAGATGTGGAAGGAACTCTCGATCATCCTCGTTGTAGCTGCTACTGGAAATTTGTCGCATGTACTGTGACGCAGTGATAAGTTTTAAATTATTTTTTAGTTGTACAGCGTTAAGAATACAATTTTTCATTCGCAAGACAGAAAATAAATTCTCTAAACAATCTTGAGTAAACCTACTACCAAGTACAAATACATAATCCTTCTTGTTAAGTAAAAAAGTTGCCAGTTGAATAAAAGGTGTTGTTGATATTATTATGCCTTTCTGGAACGGCTTCCAATCATCTTTGATTCCAAAACTCAACGATGACATCAAACAAAGAAAATTGTTCAAAAATTCTATTGTTTCCTCGAACTTAGCCTTATTTCTCTTACTTAAAGCAAACGACAAATTTCGTGAAGACATTATCTTGAACCATTTGGAAAACTGTTTTATTAACCACGACGTCGTTTTAAGCTCAGGTCGATTTTGTTCCTCTGCTAGGTATTCCAACGATGCACTAACTTCTTCGCTTAGCACGTGAGAAGCTTTTCACTCGCATTTTCTGAAAATGGTTTCTTCGGTCAAAGTATTCTGAACGTAATTTCGGGGCTAATTTAAAGTCAGAGTCTTCTTGCGATAAAAATATATGTTCAAGACGTTTGAAACTTGCCGTATTGTTTGGAAGAGAATTAGCCACAACAAATTTATCGGAAATCTTGATGACATTGTTATTGAGAAGGCCTTCTTTTACATTTTTGAACGCATGCGAAGCATTGTGAAAAAAATATAGATGTTCTTCTTGATTAACAGGATGTTAGCATCTATTTTGAGTGACCGAAAATCTGTTTGCAGTTATTCCAAAATTTCTCCACAATGCTTGATTGGCTGCGTCTATGTCAGACACTATCCCATGGACATCTAATCCTATTTCGTGAGCCTCCTTGATATAATTTATTATTAATGTTTTGTATATTACTCCGTTCGTGCTTTTTCCAGTATAATAAAAATCAATTACTTGTTTCCAGCGTCTACTTATTCCAGCTAGCATGAAGACCAAAACATGGGTTGCTAATTCTTCATTATTGTGCTCCAGTAATGTTACTTTACCAAGGAATGATCCGGTTGAACTATCGTAGCATAATTTAGGCACAATACTAACCTCATCTAATACAATCAAGCAATCTCTGTCAAATAGAGTTTTAAATTGTGACATTTTTAATTTCAAAAATTTAAATATTTCATCACAAGAGCCGCTGCGAAATTTCCAATTTTCTAGCTTTTTTCTTAGAGTTCTTAAAGATGGCAATGGATAATTTTTGTTTATCAATTTTTTATATCCCGCTATCCCGCATGCAAATTTAAGCTGATAAGCTTCAATTAATGTTTTATCGTCCCATTCAAAAACCTTTTTAACGTGCTGGCTTAATAATCTTACCTGATCATTATTAAATAATTTATTAATAATATTTTTATTACCTTCACAACTCTGCAATTGATCTTGCATTTTTTTAAATTTATGTCTCCAACAATTATCCATTTGTTTCCTCTTTTTTTTCATTAATATCCTTAAATTTTCACTTTTTCTCAGAAGATTTTCAAGTTTCCCACATTTGTTCTTGAGTGATCTATAATTATCCTGCAGTTTTTGATTTTCTGCCTTCAATTTTAATATTTCTTGATTCTTACTTATAACTCCCTGATCCGATAATCTATCTGCCTGTTCAAGCTTATCTTCTTTTTGCACATCATACTTTTCTCGTTCTCCGTTATTTTTTTCTTGATTATCTTGAAATCCTTCATCATTATTCTCTTCTTTCGCTGTTTCTTCGTTATACGCTTCTAATACTTGTTCTAACTCTATTTCTTCACTGGTCTTAATTAATAAATCTGGAACAATAATTTTATAATTTAAATTAATATATCAGTATTATTTTCAAATGCCATTAATTTTATAGATACAATCTGGGGAAAATTTCAATTACATATATAAACGTATAACTGGATAGACATACATACATACATATACACATACATACATACGTACATACATACATACATACATACATACATCAGACAGAACCTTGAAAAGTTTTTACGAATTTTGACGCGCGTCATATTTCGATACAACTCAATTCTTTATGGGTGCTTTCCATTTGATGACACAAGTCGACACAAGCATCATTTTGTCTTTATTCAACATCTAGGAATAACAAAAATGAAATGATGCTTGTGTCGATTTGTGTCGTTAAATAGAAAGCACCATATGATACGTGTTAATCGCTAAATAAATAAATAAATTAATTAATTAACAAATAAGTAAGCAATAATCTTACCATCTTCGATAAGATGTTTCTTGACCAAGCTGATCACAGTACAATTTTTCTTTACTAATGGTGTTACAATTTCAACTTTTTTGGTTGAATGATCCGTTTGTACCATAACGGTATCACTGACACTTGACTTTTGAGGTGGTTCTATAAAAAATAGAAACAATCATACTTTTAAAATCAACAATTATTTCAGCATATATTTATAATTTGATTACACTTGTAATTACTAACAAAATAAAATGTTATTTATCATTTTGCATCAGACGTTATTAGATAAACGTTACAAAAAAATCGTTTTTAGATTTATATTCTATAAAATAAAAAGAATTACAATTTGTAAGGATAATACAGAGTATTTATTTTAAATTCAAGATCAAAAATTGAGGCCGGTATTCATAGTCGGGTCTTATATTTAATCGTCTTAAGTTTATCTTCAGATGCTGTACAGATCATTTGCTTGGCTATAGAGTATCTAAAAATAAACTTAAGACAATCTTAAATATAAGACTCGACTATGAATACTGGTCTTAGAATTATTTGAATCTCACAAAAAATGAGGTACTTACAAATGATAAAAAAATTGCTGTATCTCCACCCATTTATTCCAAATAATAAAAAATCATGTATAATCAAGAAAACTGCTTTTTATTATAAACTGTTTACCTTTATAAACTTTTGTTTTCATTTGTATCACCATTTCCCCAAATATAGTTGGGACAGCATTCGTTCGTAGCTTCTTTGTGCCATCCTCTCGAACCTTTTCCCACATGTCTGATGTAAAATGATACTGTAAAATGAAATAATGTACATATAATATGTTCAATCAATATATAATTGATATATGTACAGTACAATAAATAGGATAAAAGCAATCTTTAAACTTTTATTGCAAACTCACTTTAAAATTAAATATTATAATATTCATGCTTGTTTTCTTGCAAGAAAACAAGCACCGTGAGCCGTAGGCTTTATATTTATGTGCTTAACTCTTGTAGGAAACAACTATATACCCCACACAATGCTGATTTTGTTCCAGGCATCCATTCTTTGCTCATCTCTCCGAGTATTATACAATTTTGTCTCCATGCCTCCCTTTTCACTAAATCCTTTGGAAAATAATTAAATTTGATGCCTTTATCTGATTTGTTTTGGCATCCTTTCGCTACACAAGTAGGCATTTGTATGACATTTAGCGTGTCCTCACCTCAAAAATGAATAATGGATAAGAAATCTTCACCAACAAAAGTTTGGTTACAAGCTATTTCTTATAGATTTTAAGGTTACGTTCCAAAACGTCCTCTTCGAGGATAATTTTACATAAAAAGCTGTGTACGTTACGTATATTGAATTTTTAGAGTACAATTTTCCTCGAAATAAACTCGAAATACGTTTCGGAATGCAGCCTAAATTATACTTATTAATAAGAGACAATTTCACTATCTCCGATTAATCTAACCGGTTCACGTTAACCGGAGTTGGTGAAATTGGCCCTTATTTTTCATAAAATGAATGAATATTTACCTTGACTGATTATTCACAACTTCACAAATGTTCACATGTTCACACAAAATTTTAAATGAACGTTATACAGGGTATATATAGCTATATATAGCGGAAGTAAGAGCTATTAATGGCGGACTCGCGTAAGCCAATCAGTGCGAGGCTGACGTCTTTGCCACACTGTCCCTGGACCCACTGTATCTCGCCTGCGACACCAGCGACAAACACGTTCCCTATTGGTGCCCTCGTGTGCGTCAGGATTGGACGGTATAGGTGCCCCTGGCAGCAGCCGGCGGCCGCTTCGAATTTTTGGCGTCTTTTTACGTATTTTTACATTTGCTTACATTCGGCCTTCCTGAACGCAGCCTGTCCTCAGGCCTTCATGAGTCGAAAGTCTTATAGTTACGCCACAGCGTATAATCACAGATAGAGCGGCTATTACTGTAGAGGCGACGACCTTTCTTGGTTCCTCCTCGGCAATCACAACCAGCTTTCTCAAGGATGTCTACAGTAACAACACGAGCTCCTTCGAATCTCCGGCAACAACCGCGAGTTTTTCAGTTCTCTCCGGCGACAACCGGGAGTTTTCTAATATATTCGGCAACAACCGAGTTTCCTAGTACTTCTGGCAACAACCAAGAAGTTTCTGAATATCTCCGGCGACAACCGAAGATATTCCATCATCTCTGGCAACAACCAAAGGTTTTCCCAATCATTGTCGTCAGCCTCTACTGTGAAATCTTGATTCACTTCTGGGCTCTGAACCGTAACCCAAGGTTTTATATTATCCGCGGCTGCAACCGTACGCCTTCGTCTATAACCCTCTCTCAGATCCTCAACTTCATAACGATCATTAACTAGCACTTTCCGGACCCGAAAAGGACCTTTGAATTTCGGGTGTAGCTTCTTGCTACTGCCTGTTGCCGGATCGCTCGTGATTCTCATTAGTACCAGTTCACCTTTCGTATATTTCACCGCATCACGGCGTAATCGATCATATCGCTCCTTCTGCTCTCGTTGCTTTCGATCGATATGCGTCTTGATGCCGGCTCGCAATTCTTGCAAATCCAGTCGATGAACAACATCCTGGATTTCCGACAGAAGTCGGGCGTTGGTTGCGCCTGACATCTCACATCCGATAAGTGCCTTCATCGGCGTGGTGTTTATGCTCTTATTATGCATCGTGTTAAGAGCACTCTGAATTTGTTTTACGGCCGAGTCCCAGTCATTTGAGTCTCGTCCTGCGGCAGTGGTTGCTAGCGCTTGCACAATAGTTTTGTTATAGCGCTCACACTGCCCGTTAGCTCGTGGGGTGGCAACGGCATTCAACACATGCTTGATGCCATAAGTATTGCAAAATGCCCGGAACGTCTGGGAACGTGAACGCCGTTCCTCTATCGCTAATAATCCTGGTCGGTACTCCAAACAAGTATATCAGTTCAGTTAAGATCCCTACTACATAGTTCGCCTTCTGACTCTTTACCGCCTCGATTATGGTAAACTTGGTAAAGGCATCAACAATAACGAAAAGGAATTTGTTCCGTTTTCGGCTAGTTTCAAAGGGGCCTACATGGTCAATATGTACCGTATGAAACGGTATTGGCACCTTCTCGATAACATTCAGTTTACACTGTTTTTTCCCAGCGGGGTTTTTATAATGTGCGCAATGTAGACAGGCCTGAATATATTTCATTATAAAGCGCCTCATTCCAGCGAACCAGTAATTTCTCTGCACACGCTCCAACGTCTTCTCCGCTCCTAAATGGCCAGCGTCATCATGACATAGCCTACATATTTGTAGGCGCGCATCACGCGGGACTACCCAAGCCTTATTATTGTTATTCAACCGTCGATATACTTTCCCTTTTTGTACTAGGTACTCATCAAAGTGGTGCTTGGTTTCATGTGTTGGTTTTCCACCCAACAGAATCGTGCGGATTCGGACCAATTGCTCATCCTGCAACTGTGCGGCGAGTATCCAGTCGCCTTCCGTTATGTCTATCTGTGTGACTTCTAATACTACCAGAATGGGATTGCGACTGAGTGCATCTGCGTGTTTCATTTTGGCCCAGCCCGGTATTCGACATCAAATGTATATTCCTGCACTTCTAACCACCATCGGCCAATTCTCGGCAACAGATCTCGTTTTGCAAAGGTTGCACGTAACGCATTGCAGTCCGTTACGACCTTGAAGTGTATTCCTAGCACATACACTCTAAAATATCTTAAGGCTAGCACGACCGCCATCGTCTCCAACTCGTAGGAATGATAACATCTTTGATCTGCTGTCATTTGCTTACTAAAATAAGCAACCGCTTGTCGTTTTCCATCGACTACCTGTAGCAAAACAGCACCTACGCCAACCGCGCTGGCGTCCGTATGAACTTCGGTTGGTTTGTTTGGATCAAAAATAGTTAACACCGGTCGACTCGTGAGTTTATCTTTAATTGTAAAGAACGCCTGACTTTGGTCTTCTCCCCACGACCAAGGTTCATTTTTCTTAGTAAGCCTTGTAATGGGCTCGGCTATTGTTGCGAAATTTGCAATAAAACGTCGAAAATAGCTGGCGAGTCCTAAAAACTGTCGCACTTGCTTAACAGACCTGGGAGCCTCCATGTGCGTGATAGCCTCAATCTTACGTTGTCCCGGTCGAACCCCTTGTTCGCTTATCTCTCTACCTAAATATTCCAGAGTCTGTGAAAAGAAAGAGCACTTCCCCAGCTTGAGAGTTAAATGGTGCGTACGGAACACGTCCAGTACCTGACGTAATCGACTCATACCCTCTTCTACCGTCTTGGAAGGTATAATGACGTCATCCAGATATAGAAAAGCTACTGAGTTCCTTAAGTCGCCTAGCACCTGGTCCATTAACCTTTGAAAAACGACCGGTGCATTTGTCAACCCGAATGGCATACATAAAAATTTATAGTGACACTCCGGCGTCACAAATGCAGTTTTTTCGATAGAGTCGGCCGCCATCGGTACTTGGTAGTATCCCGACGCCAAATCTAATCCTGTAAAATAACTATTACCACCAAGCCGATCTATCTGATCGTCGATTAACGGCAGGGAATGTTTATCCTTGATTGTGATCGCGTTAAGTTTATGAAAGTCAACGCACATGCGGTATTCGCCGCTACCTTTTTTCACAAGTACCACAGGACTCGAGTATGGCGACTTCGACTTTCTAATAATGTTACAATCAAGCAACTCGTTTACCATGTTTCTGAGTACCCGCTTCTCAGATTCGGCTAATCGATAGGGACGATAGATTACCGGTATATCCGTTGTACAACGTATACTCATCGATGAAGTGCTTGTCCTACCTAAGTTATTCATTGACGATGAAACACAATCGCCATATTCCCGAATGAGCTTAATACATTGCTGTCGAGCATCGTCAGGTATCGCGCCGATATGTATTGTGCATTCTGATGTCGCGTTCAAAAAATTGATATCGATTATGCTTTTAAAATCATCGCCGATTGCGGGTAATTGTTTAAACAACAGCTCGCTACCACGTTTAATTATCACTACGTGTTCCTGTTCAATAAAATCGCGACCAACGATAATATCGTATATAAGATATTCATCCGGTACAAGAATTGCATTAACACGCGCTAGTGCCTCCATTATTTGGATATCACAAATGGTCGACCGATTGCTAGTCGTAGTCTGTCCGACAAACCCTCGTAATACTACGCTTGATCCCGATGAGACAGCCATGCTGTACTTTTCAGCGATTGAAGCGCGTAGTAGCGTACATCCGCTTCCGGTATCGATCAATCCTTTAATTCTATGACCATTAACCGATATCACACGCTCGTATGAATTTGACAGAGATCCCATGTACTTAATAACATTTACGTTCTTGCCTTGCGGGCACGTGACAGTAGTATGCCCTTTCCGTTGGCACTGTCCGCATTTAGCGCGCGGCTTGCAACATTTTTTAGCAAAATGCCCCGCCTTCCCGCAATTAAAGCATTTGATTGACCCCTGATTTTTATTATCGTCCCCTAACTAACCGGTTGATGTAGAGTTCTCGATTCTTACGACCGGCGACTGACTATCACGTTTAGGCCGTTTACCTTTCCAATCGCGCCCGTGATTCGATGTAGATGCGACCCTACTTCGTTCGCCTTTCGACGGCACGTCACCGAGAGTCGTCATATATGCGTACAAAGCGTTTGCATTATCTAATTGTGCCGACCGTACCGTTCGCGCGACATTCGTATCCGTTATTCCACCAATCACAGCATCCACGAGATACTTATCCGGTATAACAATATCTAGCTTCCGCAATTTGTTTAATTTTTGAAAACAGTAATCACCTAATGATTGCCCGGGACTGCTCTCATATAATGCAGCTTCCTTGAATAATTTACTGAAAGGGACCGACTTACGAAACAGTTGCGTTAGTTCTTTTTTTGTATCCTCCCAGGTTATAGCTAACTGAGGCTGCGTATCATACCATTGGCGGACGTGGCCCTTAAATCTGCCTGGAATCAATCTCATGATCGCTCGATCATCCCAACCGTATTGTATGGATAGTTCATCCACGTGTCGGATCCACTTTTCGATCACCATGTCGTCCTTTGCTGGATCAAACGGGGGAATCATTAATTCATCTCCTCGATGGATACATGAACCTTGCCCTTGTGATCGTCGATCCAAACTCTCCACCATGCTCTAGTCTTTCGAAGCGCGTCTCCTTTCGCCTCTCGTTATCCGTTTGTGACGAAGAAGACGAATGACGCCTTTTTGATTTCGACGACTTTTTCCTCGAGTCGCGACGCGACGTATGGCGTCCCATTGTTGGTGCCTGTAATTTCGTGCACAAGATTTCCGAGTGCTGTACGGCCCGCGTCTATCCCACTTCTGATTTGTAAGAAAAAGGGTGCTTTCCGTATAACAAAAAGTATTTATTTCCTTAAAAGAACACAGCTTAACGTCCACTAACTACGTGACAACGTGACCGTTTCTAAAAACTGTCTACCGACTTCTTTATCAACAGTCCTCTCCTCTCCGTCTCGCCTGCGACACCAGCGACAAACACGTTCCCTATTGGTGCCCTCGTGTGCGTCATGATTGGACGGTATAGGTGCTCCTGGCAGCAGCCGGCGGCCGCTTCGAATTTTTGGCGTCTTATTTTTACATTTGCTTACAGAAAGAACACATAAATATCACAAGGTGCTTTAAATGTCAGGGATATGGCCATTTTGCAAAGTTTTGTAGCTCGACTGAGCAGCTATGTGAGGGCTGTGGTTCAAGTGAGCATTCAAAGGAGAACTGCAATAGAAAAGACAGGCCACAATGTATAAATTGCGTTAGAAGTAGAAGGAAAGAAACACAACATGTAGTAAAAAGCAAAGAATGTCCAGAATACAAAAAGCATGTAGAAATATATAAAAACAAGATAAAGTGGAGTTGAAAATTGGTCAAATTAATGCGCAACGATCTTTAGCAACGGCTACAAACTTGGAAATAATTATGAGGGAGCAGGACCTAGATGTTTTGTGCATTCAAGAACCATACAACTTTAGAGGCATTGTCAAAGGATATAATGCGAAAGACCTAAAGATTGTACAGCCCAGTAATCGGAAATTTGGGTAACTGCTGTTGTGAAAGATGAGAGAATTGAAATATTTCAGAATGTCTTTCTGGAGACAGAGCATTGTATATGCTTTCAGGTCTTGGCTGGGAATTTTCAATTCTACATCATAAATGTGTACTGTCAGTTTTCGTTGCAGATTGAGCCCTTTTTAGGTAAAATAGAAAGTATCATAAGACACATAGGACACGAAAACATTTTAATAATGATGGACGCTAACGCAAGATCAATGTGCTAGTTCTCAAATAAGAGTGACAAACGTGGAAGAGCCATTGAGGATTTCGTACTGTCAAATAAATTGTATATTTTAACAAGCCTGGACATTTACACATGTTCTCCACAAGCAGAGGTGAATCAAATATTGACGTAACTTTAGCAAGCGAAGGAATGATAAATAGAATTAACAAGTGGAAAGTTAATGACATATGCACCACAAGTGACCACAACCTTATAACATTCACAATAGAACTAAATACACTTATAAGATACACAGTATATAAGCCAAGAGAATTTAACACAAAAAAGGCAAACTGGAACGATTTTGAAAGATTGGTCAAAGCTAATTTTAACAAAGAACAACTATTAAAGCTAGCCTCGGAAAATCCAAATAAGGCAGCAAAACTTATGGAGAACATATTGAACAACATCTGTAGACAAACAATGCCCAAACAAAGCACAACGAGTAGGGATATCCCTTGGTGGGACGAGGAATTGACAGGGTTAAGAAAAACAGCCAACAGATCTAAAAAAAAACTCAGTAGAGCTAGACGTCTCTGCCTACCAGACGAAGGAAATTACTGTAAAAAATACAAGAAGGCACGAAATAAGTACGTAAATGCAATAAGGAAAAAGAAAAAGGAAGCATGGTAGGAGTTTGTAACGACGGAAGGGAACAAGGAACCGTGGGGCATCGTTTACAAAATGACGAGGAATAAAAATAAGAAAGACAACATAATGTGTTCACTGAAACGGCATGATGGGACGTTTACGAAAACTTGGGACGAAACAATAAATGCTTGATAAGAGCATGCCTAAGGAAGATTCAGAACTAAACTCAGAAAGACACTTAAATATTGTACACGATACAGTGACATATAGGAACTACAATACAGAGAATATTGTAATAAAGGACGAAATCATGCAGGCAATAAAAAAGCTAAAGGATAAAAAAGCCCCTGGATACGATGGATTCAATTCAGAAATCATCAAGAACCTCTGGCGGTGTAATGAGGCGGTCCTGATAAGTTTAATAAACAATTGTTTTAGAGGGGCAATCTTCCCAGATATATGGAAGGTCTCAGCTAAAAAAATTGATACTAAAAAGTGAAGACAAGGATAAAAGCATGCTAAATTCATAGATCAATTGCTATGACCTCCACGATGAGTAAAATTTACGAAAGGATTATCCTGGATAGAATTATGTATAATTATAAAGAGGCTGGGTTGGAAAA